ATGTAAAACGAAATCTACCCACTGACAACTTGCAAAAGCTCGTTAAAGACTCAGAGCCCTTCCAGTTAGGGCGATAAGAAACCGTTGTGCAACGAAACATCTTCAGGGTGATTTAAGGTTTGCAAGAAATACTGTTCTTTACAGTGTATTTCAATGAAGCAAGCAAACGAAAGGAGAGAAGGAGGCTATGCAGTACGTCTCCTTGGGATCGTCATTTGGTCAATTCATCTGATGATTTATGTTCCTCCATAGAGCCATACAGTGTAACAGCATAGAAGAAATTTCCTCTATCCCTCGTAACTGGAAGGGAAATTAGCGAAGCCAGACGAGTGGTAGTATCTTTATCTCTCTCACCCTAGTAACATTAAATTCATTGACAAATTTCGTGCTAATAAACAAACTGGGCGCGATGAGAGTGAGTGAAATAGTTATACCTACCTACCACCAACTCATTCTGTTGCATGGTTTCAACGATACGCATTTGTGGCAGTCGCCTATACCGGTTTCCCTTCCAGTTACGGTTGTTTATAGTTCAATGGTAACAGTATACTTTATACAAAAAATAATATGTGTTCTGTAAATATGCACATAAAAATTCATTGTAAAATAATGAAAGTGGCTGATAAATGAGATTCAGCTGCTAGACCAAATTTTGATATTCGTCTACGTATAGCTCAAAAATTCGCTAAATTTTAACGAGACGATGCGCCACGTTTTCTTTGATGCAGCTGTCATTAATAAAGTAAGCGTACAGGATATTCCATTTGGGAGAATTTTACCTCCGTAATTGTTGGTGGTATCATAAAAATTCTAACCTAAAAAGACCGCACATTAAACTCTCTTTTCAAAAATATGAAAGTGAAAATATTCAGTATTGATTCAAAAAGGTTAAAAAAAGATTTTAGAAAAATTTAAAAAATCAATAATCTTTTTGAAATGAAATATTTGTGTATCTTTTTGAATCATTTGAAGTTTTTTTGATTTTTTTTAATATCATCCCATTCATCGTATAGTATAAAGACTAAAGAGAGAACTTAATGTCGTACCTTCTATTTTAGAAACGGTCTCGGAAACTGCAGATTATTCAACAGGTGTTTAAACCTCAGTTGTTTCGGCGCGCTATAAATTCAAATCATACAAGTACAATCGGGCACTCGGGCGGATTCGCGAAAACGCTTAAAAATGAAGAGAGAAGGGCGAGCGAAGACGAAACGATGTGCGAGAGAGTTGAGTTAAGCATGCACGAGTTTTAACCAAAAAGTATATCTTATGGTCCTTCAGTCCACTAATTACAAAAAAATGAAGTTAAAATACAAACAACAGGCATTATAAAGTCACTGTTGTAATATACATTTTTCGATATCTCTTTTAACTAAGAAAATATAGGGTCGTTCTGAAATTGATTTTTTGGTTTTTCCCCGTATCATTTAAGTGAGCGAATATTTTCGAATTTTGATTTTACCATTATAAGTTTGACCCAAAAGGAGCACATGGCGCCTATATTACTTTTTTGACACCCTAAAAAATTTACAATTATTAGTTTATTATTAGTTTTATTATAAAAACTGCGATATTCAGTTTTTAATGGACCTCTACTTTTTTTAAAAAATAACGGATTGCGGCTTAACGACTCATTTTAGATATCGTATGTAATTAAAAAATTGACCAAGGTATCGAAATATATATTAATATAAAGGGGGTTACATTAAAAAAGGCATCTTTGATATAAATTACCCTGTGTAACAATTGCTACTTCGTTGAAAATATTTTCCGATTGTAGCCTTAGAGTCCTTCAACATGTCCCGACAATGAATTTTAAACATGTGCGTTAATAAACGCACAATCTCGCACCCACACCACACACTAATGGCCCACCCTGTGTAGAGCGATTAAAAAATTCAGTGTGATAGTTAACAATGGAAGTTTAACTGTGAACATACCATGTAACTGACAATTCGCTTAATTATATACATACACACCATTGAACTATACAGGGTGATTCCTATAGTACCTGCCTACGTTTGGGAGCGTGTAGGTGGTGCGTAGGGGAGTATTTTGATATAGGACACTTGGGGTCGGAAATCTAAAATAAGGGTGCCAGAGCCAAATTTACCTTCTGGAATTTCGCGCCTGTAGGTAGGCAACCCAACCGGCCGGCGGTGCACACGGAGCGATCTCAGGCGGCGATGTGTGGCTGACACTTGATCAGAATTTTGTTTAAACCCACGAAATCCCGTCTGCAACGACGCGTATCAAGTGAATAAACACTATGGCAATAGTATAATAATAGTTGGCTAGATGTAGGAAGTGCATTGAGAACAACGGTGGCCACGTTGAACACTTGTAAACGTTATTGCTTTTGACTGTCGTTTTCCCTCCTTCCCTCCCATGTCGCTTCCTCGCGCTAACTCGCTCTGCATCGCTCCGCGCGAAACGTCGGTCGGTTGGGTTGCCTACATACAGGCGTGAAATTCCAGAAGATAAATTTGGTTCTGGCGCCCTTATTTTAGATTTCCGACCCCAAGTGTCCTATATCAAAATACTCCCCTAGGCACCCCCTATACGCTCCCAAACGGTGGCAGGTACTATAGGAATCACCCTGTATACTCTGTATAGTTCAATGATACACACGAACGTTAATAAATTGACAGGTCCGTTTGACAAGTGAATTGAGGCTCGTTCACGACAAACACCGTATCACCGCCACCTACGACGCTGAATTTTTTGAATCACTGTCTCATTTTGTGCTTATTGATTACTACCTATATCAGGAGTTTGTATGTGAAAACATTAATATTTTTCCATTTCTAATAACATAATACGTATTACTTGCAAAACAAATACTGAATTTAAATTTGTATTGTTTCCCAAAATTTATATGAAACAGACCTGCACGTCACTGTTCTTTTTATTTTCGCCCTTGTATCAATGCTACTGCGTGCAGATAAACCCATACATATTATCGTAACCCTGGCACGTAATTGCATCGGTCAAGAGCAAACTGACCTGTACGTTCATAACACACGGAATAAAGCTGAAATTTAAATTTCGTAAGAGTGAAATGCAGTAATGCAACACTATATTTGGTTTTCATTTTCAAATATGTACTGATAAAATATATATTGATACTCCTTAAAAAAAACTCATTACGAAAAACTTTATTACGCCTCTGCAGCGTTTCCAAAATTATTCCTGTAAATAGGTCATCCCGCGCGCAACAATGTGATAACGGCTTAGATAATGAACATTAATTGATAGTTCATGTTGTAGCTATACTACGTACACTACACCTACCCCAAATATGTATTCGTGAAATACTAAATTGTATTATAGCATACTTTATCCTTGCAACGGTGCCATACTGTCTAGTAAACATATTGCCCAGCATATTGCGTACTTTCGCCCTGATTAAAACTCATAAAAGAAATATTTGTTTAGATTTACCGATTTATCGAGTCATTGCAATAGCAATTGGGCAAATGTTTTTCAACTTTCTTATTTATGGTGATATTTCTTTGAAATTTTAACCAGATGCTTTTAGTAAAAGCACACGTATGGCAAAATGTACGCATGCGCAGGATGCGCAATGCTAACTTCCTTATTTACATATCGTGCTTACTTACGTAAACATTTTTTTAAATTATACCTACAGGTGCTTTTAGTAAAGTCACAGATATACGTATATCTGTGGTAAAGGCAAACATATCGCACATTGAAAAAATAAGATGAGCGAATGCGTCGATTGCGCAATGCCAACTTTCTTATTTATGGAGATATTTCTTTGAAATTTTAACCATAGATGCTTTTAGTAAAGAAATACATAGCCATAGCTTTTTGGGGAGTAATGATAAATGCATGGAAAATGTGATAAAGTCACTCGTAAAATTAATAATAAAAAGCTCATAAATGAAATTCAAAAATTTGCTAATAAAATCAAAATGCTAAATTTAGTCGCGCAAAAAACTCCAAAAAAGTGATTTCCTTAGGTTCAAAATTTTTTCAAATGAAGCACTGAGCCAAAAATTCGTTATTGCAGCCCGCTTTGGGCCACTACGTTTATTATTAAATGCACTAAAATTGTTAAAAATGAGTTACAATTACAATAATTACAGAATAATTTCAAAAGTGTAACAAAAATGCGTCATACTCCGATTAAGTTTGTGACTTAAGAAAACTAATCATAATTTGTCGAGCACAAAAATAGTTTACTATCCGCCTACAATAATCATAAATGAAAATCGCGCGTTTTGCATTTTACAGTTGATATCAACCAATAAGTTGAATTGGGATGAAAAAAAATGAGTGTTAATTAGATGTTTAATTAACCAGCAAGTTTGGGCGATAAACATTATCAAGCAAACAAAGAAATTGTATAATTTACAAGTCGAGGTCAGCGAGATATTTATTGTTGCAATTTTTATTATGGAACTAGACGAACTTCAATTCGAAATTTAAAAACGCTAAAATTAAGCAGGTACAAAAACAAACAATAGAAATTTAAACCCGTTCCTCGTTTCGCTACGTAAACCTCGGCACGGAAATTTCGTAATATTTACCTAGGTAGGCAGGAATGTCGAAACACGGTGTACTTACACCGTTGTCGAAACTGACAACAGTTGAACAGTCTGCGTTAAAAAAACTACTAAATGCCCGTTCATTATTATTAGTATTTTAATGGTACTTACCAATTTACGTGTCATCATGCGTAAACTACACAAGATTAACGCGTACAAAGTGAAATCAAGGGACGAATTTTGTAGTACACTTTCTGCTACGAAACCTGAATTTCAATTGCAATGAATGCAAGACCAAACCAAAGAGAGTTATAAAATCAAAAGGTAGTGGAGGCAAGGCCGTCGTACGGTTGGTTAGCGTAAATATCTTTGAATTTGACCGTGATTATGCGGTCTAAGATTACCTCCTGTATTAATGTCAACCAAATTGTTTAGCAAAATCTTATGAGAAGACCCAAATAAGGCAAAAAATTGAATATTTTTAAAATCCCCTCCATCATTCCCTTGTTTATTTTTTAAACGTCACAAGATGGCGTTGGTTACATTTCCCTTTTTGTTGTAGTCGTAGATGTAGTATCGTAAGCGTGGCTAATAAAGGTACAAAAAGGTAATAAATACGTCCTGTCCGCCTTCTGGTAGCCGTATTTTAGTATAAAACTTCCCTAATTATCTCACTCGTGTGCTTTCCCTAAGGGAATATGCAATTAAATTAATACCCTAGTAGTAGTAGTAAACATAAGTTGTCAATGAATTTTCAGTTGCACACCCACCAACGCGTTAAATTTACGTTTTTAATTTTCTCTTTCGTTTTATAGAAAAATGAGCAGTTCTGAAGAGGTTTCGTGGATTTCCTGGTTCTGTGGATTAAGAGGAAATGAATTTTTCTGCGAGGTAATGTATAAAATAGTACAGAAATTTGCATAGATGGAGGTTTGGATTTCAGGTTGATGAGGACTACATACAAGACAAATTTAATTTAACGGGTTTAAACGAACAAGTTCCACATTATCGTCAGGCTTTAGATATGATATTAGACTTAGAACCAGGTATAACTTCCGAATCTTTCTTTTTTTTTAGGTTAGGTATATATGTGCATTTTATTTAGTAGATGACGAATTAGATGACAATCCAAATCAGTCGGATCTAATAGAACAAGCTGCTGAGATGCTTTACGGTTTAATACACGCTAGGTATATATTAACTAATAGAGGAATTGCGCAAATGATAGAGAAATACCAATCCGGCGACTTTGGGCATTGTCCGCGAGTATATTGTGAATCTCAACCAATGCTACCCTTAGGTAAGTGTAAACATTAGACATATCTTAACTTGCCCATTTTCCACAATTTGGTATAAGAGCATAAGCGATCAGTTTCTAACCAACAAGTACGTTAAGGACCGTTTTTTTTGTTATTAGCTTTGTTCGCGGATGGACTTCTGAACGAATTCCAGATCAACGTAAAGCGTAAATCCCAAATTCGTTAACCGCGAACGCTACTATTTAGACTGTGCGTGCGTATCGTTCCTGAACTGGTTCAGAATTGCATCCGCGAACAAAGCTATTGTTAAATCTATGTGACAGATATCTTCCATGGAAACATGTGTAGGTTATCAAGCAGGTGAGATTAACCTCGAGATTAACTGGCTCTTAGTCAAATATGTAAATCAAAGAATAGATTCCTAACGTGAAAATATGCACTGCATTTAACAGGGAGGTGCAACATACACTAGGATGTCAGTGCTTATGTTATGATTAAATCTATTTTCCACATTTGACAGTTCATTTCCACGGAAACAAATGTATTGACATAGGAGGTTATCTATAACATAAATTTAACTGATACATAAGAGCGTTGAATAAAAACACTATAAGAAGTCTAACATTGGGAAATAAATCGTAGTGGATGATCCATAAGCGTTAAGCTTCTTATAGTGTTTGTATGCAATGATAAAAGACAGGTTTGTGGAGGTTTTTTGTAGCCAAATTGTATTTCCCTTAACAGTGGGTACAGTGTTTCATTTCCATCTGTTTGAATCGAGGTTTGAATATAGTCCGCCATCTGGTTTCTTATTACAGTTTTAACATTTTCCAAATGAAACCATCGAAATGCTATTTTTAAATTAATTTATTTTGCTGCTTATGAATAAAAACCTTTTTTTTAAGTCAAGGTGTATTAATTGTATGGAAATGAATATATTAAAAAATTCACTGATGAAGATGGGGGCAATTATTTACTTTGTAGACTATAATGAGTATGATGATTATAAAGTATAATATAAGGTACATTTAAATGTAAGCATTAATTATTGAATTGTGTTTGACGGGAATAAAAGTTAGTCTTTGATCCATCAAATGAAAGAGCAGTTGTTTTAATCCATAGAGTTCAAAATCCTCAGCAGAGTATGATAGAGTTGTCGATATTATTCTGGTCCTGCTCAAATACAGGGTGTCTCAGATCGAGTGGGATTGCATATGTAACTTTGTTGTTATCGAAGATACGGATTTGGTTAACTTGGTGCAATATTTAAAATTCCATTTAGACAATTTGAAAATTCCTCGCGAATGAAGTTATCAAAAAAACACTAAAAATTGCTGAATTTCAAAAAATTAAATGTTCGCAACTTATGAAAAAAGTTAGTATGGAAGTTTCCCGTTTTTATAGGATAAACTCAAACATGATCAACTTGAAGATGACATTATTGACATATGAATATCGCTTTCTTTTTTTTACATGAGTAGGTATCATGAATTGTTGCTTGATTAAAGAATCCTTTCAATATAACCTATGATTAAACAGATAGCAATAGCTCGAATAATAGTAAATTAGTTATGTATAATAATTGATTCTTTAGTCGATCTAAGCGTTAAAAAAAGAGCAAAAGGCACTTTTAACCATCTAAAAATTCACTATTGCGCCAATTAATAAAAAAAAGTTGCTGCAATATTGAATTGTTAGATCTTTCAAACAATGTTTTTTTTTCTTTTTTTTAACCACAGACCTATGATCGACTAAAGTTTAATTATTATATTGATTACAAAATGAACTAAGCCTAAGTACGTGATTAAAATGTAGTAATAATTACTTCCATTAATATTCTTTGATCAATCGTCACATTTTAGCGCAATTCCACAAAAATCAAAGAAAATACTATTGTGTCACTTAGTCCGCCCGTCTCTCTGTCACTACGGCTGTGTCACTATCTTAGGTTTTCTTCACAATTTGGTCCGTTATGTTGTCAAGATTTCCAGGAAGGAATTTTTTTACTCTTATGAGAAATGTTATAGCATTAAATCACTTTTTGCATTTTAAGCCTTGATTAGTCTAAACTCACACGTTTTAGCAACCATTTTGGACTAAAATTTGAAATGTGTTTCTTTTAGTCATAAAAAGGGGCAACTTTGCTCCCATTTAACCTACACTGTGTCGTTCATCATTAAGGAGATCCCAATACTGCCGTCCTAATCAAGAAGGCAGTATCTCTAGTTTTTACTATACTTAGTTTTCCTCCTGCTATGGGTTTCTTTCACTATATTTTAGATTATATTAAGAAGAATAATTTCAAAACAGTTCAATATTTTGAGAATCCATAAACATTTTCATAGTGGTTCAACTCTGTGTACACGAAATTCACCATTTATCCCGTAAATAAGAAGCCACGAATTTGAACCACCGTGTACATTGCTTATTTGTGACTCAGTTCTTCTGAAATTTCAGTGGAAGGTAAATTGAAATCAAGGATTATAAACTTTTTGATTTGTGGACCACTTTCTCTGAAATTTTAACTGAAGATACTGAATGAGTGCCACACTGATGTGGACGAAAAACGAGTTTTCTTGTCTTACATTGTTCTGAGTAATAAATTTTCAAAATTCAAAGCATTCTGCAAAAAAGCTGAGAATAGTTATTAATGATCACATCTAATTCCGTATTTTGCAACGACATTTTGATCATTAAATTCAATCCTAATCTGCTGTGATCATCTATACAGAAAGGAAGTGATTCAGCTTACTGGATGTGTGGTCATTTATGATTTAGGAATTTGGGAAATTCAAATTTTGATTAAATAATAGAATTTCCCAGTGTCTGACCTCAGGTATCCCATAATTGCTTTTGCGTACCTTCACATTTCTCTATCCTTCATCCATAAGCTACTATGTGTCTTTTAACAGAAGTACTTATTACAGGCTTATCAGATGTACCTGGAGAAGCGATGGTAAAATCTTACTGTCCGAAATGCATGGATGTGTACACACCTAAATCTTCTCGTCACCATCACACCGACGGAGCATACTTCGGAACTGGTTTTCCTCATATGCTTTTCATGGTTCATCCTGAATATAGACCAAAACGTCCAACAAACCAGTTCGTACCAAGGTTATACGGCTTCAAAATTCACCCTTTAGCATATCAGCTTCAACAGCAAGCTGCGTCAACATTTAAAGCACCCATGCGTGCAATAGGTTACAATAACGGCAAACGTTAAACAAAAATTGTAAAAAAATGTGTATTATTATAACTGAGCTGCAATAATTTTACCTATTTATATATTTAAAATTTTTTTTATTTATCGATCTCTCTATTATGAGGTTATTGTCGGAAAAATTAATGCAGCTTGAGGAACTATTGCGGAACATTTTATTTAACAATCTGTTTATAGTAGTTTTTATTTCCATAAAATTAGTGAACATCTTTGTAATTTGTAACGAATACCAAAATTCTTCTAAGAATGTATTAACCAATAAATTTACATGTAATAAAATGTTTGTTTATAGAGTAAATTTGCAGTGTATAAGTATATACATTGCACTTTATTACTTTAAGTTATAGCTATTTTTTTCAATAAATAAACAAGTACAAAAGTTTTATAGTTGCTCACTCCCCAGAGTACATCACTTTGGATTTAAAGTTTGGCAAACCTGCTTAAGAGTCGAGTGTTTAAGCTTTGAAGTCGAGCATAGTGTGTCCAAACCTGTAAGCCTAAGTGAAAAAATACCCGGTCAGTAGAGTAAAGAAAACTTGAAGAAACATCAATCGCCCGCTGCAATAGCTGGATTAAGGGAGACCAGTAATGTTGAAATCTAGTTCTTGCTAGGGTTCATGCTCCTGATCCTGAAACTGCGAAAAAAATTAAAATTGGATGTTAAAGGAGAGGAGTAACAGGAGAGCCGGTGGATATTTTTTGGTAGGTATTTGAGGTACGCTGAAAACGTATGCAATAGGTAGTCCAAGAATACCCAAACACCAAATTGCGGGCCTGTTTATTTTTATTTCTAATTATAAATAATACGTCAACTTTTAAGCGTGCCTCAAATGTATTTTTTCAAAATAAACTTGCAAGCACCTGGTAAAGTTCGAAACGGACTAAATAATCTGGTTAAATTATTTCTTCCAACTTTAACTATAAATATTAAATTTAAAAGTAATTAATTTCGAAATGCCTCAAGAATATTTTTTTCAAAAAAATTCGTACCCTTAATAATATATGGGTAGATTTAGCCTCGCTACTCCCTAGTCAGATCTGCCATTCTGTTTGCTTATTATTCGAGAAGTATTGGACAAGTTGCTCAAATACCTACGCAAAAATGTCTACCAGTTCTAGGATCGGAGCACTTTTTTTCTAAATAAATTAAATGCGTTTGCCGCGCGAGCGATCGCTAGAATGGCGCCAGCAGAATATAATAATATATATATAATATTGTATTATAGGATATGTTAGAAAACTATGTAAAAAGTTGATGTACAGAAAATGTAATTTTAAAGAAAATATAAACTTTTATAATAATATAATGTTAATATCCTATACCTGATTGGTATATGCCTATTTCGTAAGAACGCGAGTCCATTTTGAATTACCTTGAACCAAAGAGTCGGTACGTTATACACTCTTTGCTTGAACTGAACATAATTAACTTACTTTTTAATAATTAGGTACGTCTAAAAGATAATTTTGGTACGTACAAATAAATATCACAAATTATCATTCAATTTCTAGCACACTCGTACAGCATTTACAGCAACTCGCCCACCTTCTCTTACGTCGATGACACTTTAAAACAACGTTCCCATTCGTGGCATAATTTCACTGACCACAAACAAATATTTTTCAATGGTTAATAAATAACACGATTAAAATTGTTCTCGCTATTTGTGGTATAGTTACAAAGACTGCGCGTATCATTCCTTGAATGTGGCATGTTTTAAGAATGCTTATCATGAGTAGCGTAATTACACTGATCACAAACCAAATTTTTGGAGAAGGTTGTATGTTAAAAGATGACGCTCGTTAAATAGGTAGTTGCAGCGTACTTAATTATATTGATTGCAGCCGAGGTTTTTCAAAGCAAAGTAACATCTGTTTTACGTCCTTACGGATCTGTGAATGCTCCTTCCCTTATCTCTTTACGAAGCTACATTACCACTTATTTCTTACCTCATACCGTTACAGAACTGTGAATCAGGCTTAATAAGTATTGAACCAAACAGTTGATCCAACTGAACTACAACGTTCAATAGACGAACTATCATTTCATCAGTATCAAAATATTTGACCGTTCGTTCATGCAATAACTCAAAAATGCTTTTATTTATGAAGCTCCAATTTGTTACATATTGTAGATCGGGCATGGGGTAAGGAAAAAGTGATTAGATTTTAGACTTTGAGGGTGAACCGCTTGAAGCAGCATGTGATAAACACCTGCTCACATTCCTTATAGCTTCGTGTGGGTTTATTTCACTTACATTCAAGCATTATACTAAAGCATAAAATTGTTGACAAAAACCGCCATAACTAAATTTTTTATTGCATGATTTGTTGTATTTGTATAAAACAAAAAAGCACTTATAACAATATACCCTTTACAGTACAACATTAGGAATAAGTTTGGTAACTAAATGTATAAATCATTTTTTGAATACAAACTTCATTGATTTACTTTCTTTAAACTTCTTCCCATTTCCATAACTAACATAAAACATGTGGTTAGATTAATTTTTATTAACAAACAAAATGTCAGATAGATAATCTAATCTCCGTTAAGACATACATAAAAGTTTCTTGCAGTGTTGCAACTGACAATTACAACTTTTAAAAATACATTAAATGATGTTTCTTCTTGGTGTATCATTGCATCATACATTAATGAGTAAACGGAATCTCCGAACATTAAAGATACAATGATAGTTTGTGGTCATTCCCTTGCACAATAGATGCGTATTTAATGTTGCTAACTCTCCCCCTTTTTAAACTGATTTTGACGTTCTAGCAGCTGTTGAAGAGAAGCTTGTCTTGGAAACAACGATTGTTGACGTAAATTGTGTAATAGTCCTTCCGATGAACTTTCACTATTTCTAAATTGGCCTGGAAGACTGGGCGACCAACTGTTGGAATTGAATAACGAATAGCCTTGTGCACTGGAAGATACTTGCATAATTTTATCTTGATTTTCCTGAAACAAATTGTTTCATATTTTACAGCAAGGATCTAATATTACATAATATAATTTTAGTAACACAACAAGAAAAGCTGTACTAATGAAATTATTGCGACAGGGAATTTTCTTTTGTTGATGTTACTTGAATTGCAAATAATTTTTGGTGTGTGACTATTTTTGTGTGTTTTTGCAATTGAGATTGTCTGCACTTGTGTGCTAGATATCAGAGAAAGAGTAATTTCAAACACAATACTTACATGATTGGTATTTAAACTTTCAATGGGAGTTAAATTTCTGGTTTCCTTTAACATAGTTTGTCTCAATGACATCCCTTGATTGGGCGAGTCAAATCCTACCAATCCTGGAGTTGAACTGACGTTGCTTTGATTACTCCAAGGTCTTCCTAACATGCCAGACGATGGAAGTGTCTGCTGATTTCCGTAGTCAATATTTGTGTTCCCATACGGCATGTTATTGCCAAATTGAAAATTAAGTTGATAATCTCTTGGCGGATAATTAGTATTTACTGGAGGCGTGGTGTTAGGCCACCAGTTCGACGCAGGCCGGTCATCATGTTTCCAAGTATTAAAGTCGTGAGATTGGGGAAACTGGTTCAAATTCTGATATGGCATCGGTAACTGCTGATTCATTAGTGGTCTCTGCATATTAGTCGAAAATGCTTGATTCATCGATTGCACCGGTGGCGGCGGTTTATTAAACATTGGTGGTGGAATTGAAAAGTTAATATTGTGGGGGGTATTTAAATCGTTTGAGCTACTCGAAATTTCATTTTTTGGAAATTGCAGAGGTGGCAAGGCAGTCCTTTCAAAAGGCACATTTGCAAAGTTTTGGAATGCACTCTTATAGTAATCTTGAGGTTCGCTCTGCATTGGTTTGATGCTTTGAGCAAATGCAGAGTTAGACGAATATGACGCATTTACGTAGGTAGGTGTTGGTAGTTGCTTATTCACCACTGGTTTTGCTTCCACTTTTTGAGGTTTTTCCTTTTCTATTGTGCCCATATCAAACTTCACCTATAGAAAACATTTATATTAAAATGTGGAATAACAGCAACTGAAATATTTAATTAGCAATACTGATTTAATAAATTTGACCCCATCACTGATTCATGGCAAGTTTTAGTTGGGACACCCCCTATAAAGCAAGATTTGGTTATCTTACCTGCTTGTTTTCTTCCATTTTTTTAAATATTGATTGCAGAGCCACATTTTGACTGACACGTTTTAATTTTGCGGATTCAGCCTTGTTGCTAGAATTTGTTACATTGTTCACAGCTACATATTTATTATTGCTTTCTTTAAGAGCCGTTTCCTGCTCCTTTCTTGATTTCTCCAATGAACCTTGAGGTTTTAATATACCTCCCCGCCTTTCGGGCCCTGCACAATAACAGCAGAAATGGGTACCGATACACAACACATAGACAAGTATTTACCTTTGACTTTTTGAATTTGACTAGACTCGGCTACATTAAACGATTTCATTTCCTCCAACAGTTTTGTAGTGGGATCAGGTTGTACACAGCCGGGTTCGAAATTGGTCATATTATCTTCGTCGTTTGTTCTAATTACACACATTTGTACATATCATATAATTATATCACAAACTACTTACTTAGTAACAACCAATTTAACATTGTTCACATCGTAGGTTGTTAACCAAATCCCAAAATGGATCAGTCTTTTTCCTCTGATTAACTTCTCAGTTTCACAATTCTCTTCAAGTTCCTCCAATTTAAAATCTAACCCTTCAAAACATTCCACTAATGGCAAGAAACCGTGTAGTTCTCTATCTTCCGACAATGGCATATGTACAACTATAAATAATTGCAAGTTAATGTTTCAATTAATCTTGTCTCATGACTCACATTTTTCTCCATCAAAAGTTTTAAGTTGAGTTTGTAAACTGTTCAGCAATTTACACAATCCAGGCCAAATTTGCAGCCGACTTTGAAAAACAATTTCTTTTAATACGTGCGCTTCATGTTGTAACCAATAAGATATCAGTTTGACTAAAATAAAATGATCAATCTTAAAATGGCAGTGTAAATACAATGCTTACTTGCAGGTAGCGCGTAATATTCAAGCAGCGTACTATCGTGAGTGAGTGTGTAAACTGGTAATAAGAATGCACTAAGCGATCCTGCTAGTAAATCTAAAACTAGTTTTCGTACTTGATTTTCATCTTCAGTCAATTCTTCAGTTTTCGACGTTCCGGCGCCAACAGTGTGTCTTAGAGCATATAAATTAATGGTAGTAATCTGTATTAGTTTATGTCCAGTAAAACTTTGTGTAGCTACTAGAGGTGTAAGAGTAGCGTTTAAACTTTTCACACCCAATTCTGCTTGCTCAAGATCTGTTGCGGAATATAGTAAACCATGCACGCGGATAAACATCCTGATGAATTCATTTACATTCAATTTTGTTTGTACTTCCGTTATAGCACTATAAATAAAGACGTATGTAAGATGTGAATGTTAAGGGCAAGGTTAAAGGTAAACGTCTTGTGCAAAAATTTTACAATGAATATTTTTGAGTGAAGGCAAAACAAGACACCCTGTCTGTAGTAAATGTACTGAATCTGCAGGTATAACTTGTGTTGGCTTTCGTGTTGCAAAAAATAGATTCATTGTTAACATAAAAGACTACTAGAATGACAAAGTGCAATGGAAACTTGATCAACTGTTTCTAAAAAGCATTACAGACAAAAGCCAGTACACACAATTTAAGTGCACATTCGACAATAAATACTTACTCATCTTTATCAATAGCAAGTGACAACGTGTTAGCTAAGTTGGTTGCAGTTGCAGGAAAGGGATTTTTGACAGCAATTCCCCTAACGTAATAAAATATTGCAGCTAACTTGTCTCCTTGACTTGCTTGTAGTAGAGCAAGTTGGTTATATGGTTGCCCACTAGTCGGTGATAGCAAAATTGCATGTCTGTAAAAAAAATGCACGAATGTTCAAGGTACTCATTAACAATTAGTAAAATATGGATTAGTAAAAGATATTCCTCCAGATATTCAGTTGAGTTAATGGACATGTTTCTGTAAGATGCAACATCACAAACTGGATATAAAATATTGTTCATCTCTTTTAAAGAGAATCTGACAAATTGTTGACAGAACAGCTTCCTAGCTCAAACCAAAAATCGTGCTTTTAGAAGAGTGTCTTCAAAAAATGGTTGTGTAGGGCAACAAAGCCCATTATTTTTCGTTTCCGTATGCCTAATATACATACCCAAAATTTTAACAAAATCCATGGAGCCCTTATATCGGAAAATTGCCAACGTACGTACGTTACATACCTACATACTGTAGCGAATATTCCAGAAATCTCAATAGCCATTGAGGCGCTAAGAAAGATTACTTAGTCATTGGCGATAAAGGACGAAGGCGGATGTGACGCAATCTTTCTGGGAAATATGACGTGTGAGAATCTAGAACACTTGCAAGCGTTCGGTAGCACTTGAAAACACTCGAGTTTGTTATATAAGCAAATCTACTTGCGTTTCAGAGACTCATCAAACTAACAACCTATTTTATAAGAGGTACCCCCCCCCCCTCGATTTATTTTAGACCGCCGTACTTTCCCAAATGGGAAAAGAAGCTACTCTTATTTGGTAAGATATTACTAATATTGTAGTTCTCCATTGAAAGACCCAAAAATTGGATCCCCACAATCCCAACTTGTAAGCGGCGCAGAATAAATTCAGAGAAAAATTTATTTATTTATTTTATTTATTTGCCTTTATTTTTGAGTGGAGGGGTATCAGCCAAGGCTGCTCTACCACCCCAACTCACTATACATTTACAAATATCCATGCCCGAACCCGGATTCGAACCAGGGACCCTTAGCACCACAGTCCAGTTTCAACTGAACTGTGTCACACAGGTCTTCCTTGGTGCAATCATAGACATAACGAACCAAATAGCGAAAAAAGTTGAATAATACCTAGCTCTTAAGATAAAGAACTAGTACCAAACGAATGAATAAAAAAATTCATACTTATAAAAACTTTCAGCTTGTTTCCGTTGATTGCGATATCTAGCGATGTCACCCAAATGAACCAGGCAATATTGGCATATATAAATACAGGAAGAGGTCTGTGGTGGATTTATTTGTTCTGAACCATTCCATGCCTTCGTTTGACTATAAATACTGAGCCGTTTACGGAATGGTAAATCTAAATCGAAAGCCATACATAATTCTTGAAGTAATGTTAAGTAAAAACCCGAAGCGGCTTCCAAACACCATGCCAATAGAGACTGCGCGTCGGATCTGTAAGGGTTCTAAAAAATGTGCTTTGTACATTTACAATGATATCAAATTTTATCGTTTACTTTTTTGTCTCGTACTTGTTCTTGCAAAGCTGTGATGTGATTCTTAAACCCAACAGTCCACAGCTCCTGCTCTACTTTCTTATCTAAAGCATATTCTAAGTCCAATACAAGTACTTGATGATAGATCGTCTGTAGCTGTTGTTGATCTGTCCATGCTTGTGCATCGTTTAGTAAATCACATTTTTGTATAACTTTCGCTTTAAGAAAATCGGCTTTTCTGAAAGGATTGCATTAGGAATGATATACCTACATGGATGTTATTTTTGCTTACTGCAATGCTTGAACAGCTGCTTTACATCCCATTTCTCATGTCAAAAGAGTGTTGGTACCACCAGTGATTCTCCACCATTAATATATTGTGACTTTTGTGGTAATAAACACATCTGGTTTATTTGTGCAAGTTTTCATTTGTGTTTAAAAATTGCTGCTTCTTGTGAAATTGCACACATTTGACGTTTACTTCACGTTTTTTCAAGAACTTTTTTTTTAAAGCAAAATTCCCGTTTGTTAAACACTATTACTTAAGCGTTATTCCATTTCATCAAATGCCGTATTTTGGGAATAAATTCAAATTATTTTTTTTTCTTTAATGATAATCCAAATAATGTTCGTTTCAGAAACAATTCGGTGGTGCTGGTAGTGACTTCTGATTTCACATAAAAGGGTGGCTTCTTTGATTGAGATTAGTGTGACGTCATGACACCTTAATGTTGGCAACCCGCCAAACACTGCCTCTAAACAAAGTGTACTTACTTCATTGAATTTATAACCAAAGACGTATATACTGTTTGTAAAGCTGAATTTATAGTTCCGTACCCGCAACGCCGTACCGTAACGTTTGGAATTAAACCCTTGTTGCGCGTGAACATTTATAGTTCGCGTTAACGTTGCGTTAGAACGGTTACGGTACGTAGGAAATGCCCAAATCTTATTTCTTACGGTAAATCGTGCTAACGCACTTGTCTTCGGCAGAACTCAAGGATACTATAATATAAAGTAGCATTCACAACCTCAAAATTAATACCTACAATTAACAATCGAAAATTAACGTAAATGTTTAAAGCTATTTGGGTAACATTCACAATATAGAAAATTAATCGTCGAAATTAATACTTAACGCAGAAGTTTGCAAACTGCAAACTTTGTCGATTAATTTTACGGAAATGGACAGAGGTACGCATGCGTGCTTTTATATGACAGCCGACATAACCATGTTTTGTTTGTTTTGATTTTGTTTACATATACAATGAATGTGGCGAACAGAAAAAAGTAAGTAAAGTTGAAATTATCATAAATCTGAATTTTTAGTTTGAAACAAATTAATAAATGGTTTACTCGACCGTGCGCCCCTTGGAATGATGCCCCCCCGGGTCGCGGGCCTAGTGGTACATCCAGGCCCACACAAATATAGGATTGCCCTGATCCTCGTAATGTTGCCCGCGTTAAGTCATATTCCCACCCTAATGTGACGTCACCAACGGACCTGGTTGTCAGAAATGAATGTTATAATTTGTAGTACTTATCTAAGTTGGAAACGTTTTTACATTAGTGATAACTTGTGATGGATAAAGTTTCAATTTCCATGGACGATAAAGAGCAAGAAAACTAGAAGCGCAGGAATCCATTTAAACGTATTACAATTAACATATAATATGATATGCAATTTAAAGTGGTGCACAAATCAACGGAACAGCATGCGGTGCTGGATCCGCAAGTGACGTCACTACACACGGCGAAAAAATTTCGTGATCGAGCAAATCCTATATTCAGCGGCGGCGCGAGCTGATGGCAAGTAGGCGTTTGCCAACCATTTGCGCCAAGAAGGCCAAAAAAAGGTCCTGAAATGGACGGCTATATTTGCATAAAATTTGAAAAATGATTCAAAACATTTTTGATCAACGCATCATCAATCAATGTAAATATTTTCACTTTCTTTTCTAAACTACTAACCGATGCGATGTGGGGAAAAACACTTTAAACTTTCTTTAAAAGGACACTCACATAGGTAACTCGATGGTCATCCTAGTATACCTATGGTACGCCTGCATTCATTCTTTATTAACTCAGAGAAACTGATGCTTGTACCACAGCATATAGGTATTCTTCTGTAGTACAGAAAGATTACTGTGCTTGCACTTAGAGAAATAATTCATCATCTACACCAGAATCAACTCAATAATCTCTGACTCTGGTCTGCATAAACTATTCCTCACCAGATCAATTCATTAATTAAGTCAGTAGTATATGAGTCTTCAAATTGGCTATTGATGATTTAGTTTTGGTGCCTATACTTTTTATGAGTCAACCCAGACGCACTTATTCTGATGTGGCAGACGAGACAATAAGCATTCAACAATTAAACATAAATATTAATTCAATTTTCGGAAATCTAAAGCGGCGTTGTGAAACCTTATATGAATTGAATTCTATTTTCAGTGTTTTAGAGTTAAGACGATAGAGAATTTTTTAAATTGAGCAATGACGAGTTGAAATGCAAAATGGACAAATTAGATAAGGAAGTATCCAGATCAGCTGACTTTTGTTTATTTATAGTTATTTGTGACCGGAGATCTAGCACCAGTAGGAACCGAAACCGCGTCTTCAATGCATTTCTATGCGCATCAACTGCTATGGATATTATACTATGCGATCAAAAATGAGTTGCTGTCGAGTCACCTTTGGAATGTTTGTTTGCATGGGAAATCGCGTACTTGATTTGAACTTCCAAAGGCGACTTGACAGCAACTCATATTTTGAAATCTTGATGAAATATTTTTGAAGGTATGGGCCAACAATTTTTTGGGGAGTTAAAGCTCTCCTCCAAGGCATTTGAGCAGTTGCCAACGGCTCGTATATATTAATATATAGCATCTTATGGCCATTACACGCAGTAAAGTCACTAAATCTATATAGTGACTTTAACACGCAGGCGAAGCGGATGGCCTCTTGGACCATATAGGTATTTGAGTTGTATTTATCATCAGTCCATGTACTGTATCGTCTAACATGAATTGTTGCTAGTTGCATATACAGGGCGGAATTAATTTTTTATGGCAAGGTGTTACTAACGTGTAAAGTGTAGTGTGAAAATCTGCACACTGGTAACCTAAACGTTAAATTTTTTCTGAAATAGTCCCATACTTCATTTCTTAGTACAATGACCGTTTAATTAAATCGTATTCATGACACAAACGAAGCAAAGAGTAATTGTCTTTATCTCGGTTTTAATCACAAAAATTTGTGGTAGGGTAGCGGTTTTGTTGTTCTGTTTGAAATGTAATGGCTTTGACTGTTTATCTTGTTTGGGTGCTATTTTCCTTATTTTTAAAATTTCAAATTCTGAGAGATATATGATGAGTTGTGAAAAAGTACAGGGTCACTGGGTCATTTGAAATTCGAACTCTGTTGATAGAACGCGACCACGAGACGAGTGCGACTTTAGACCTATCAAACCAGATTCCAAGTTTTGTGTGTGCGTGGAGGTTCGATCTTCAACATGAACATCCCAAACGAATATGTTTCTACTGCGGAAGATACGGCAGACCAAGTATGCAATTCAATTACTTTTGACTAAAAACTACCCTTTTTACGTATGTAATAACTTTGTAGATGATCACTTTGGTTTTAACCATTATCTTTTAAATTTTTTGGAACGTAACGTCACGTCACCCATTCAAAGTATTTTATAATCTTCTTGTTTTAATTATAACCCAAGCAATTAAAATTAAGCTTACCTACCTCCTCTGTACTTAAATCTGACCTTAAATCTACTTCCCAGGAACACCTTTTTTTAAATTTTTGGAGGTTATCTCGAGCAGACACAAATGTGAAGAGTCCATATGGTCTCTGCATTAATTTAATGCTGAAATATCTTTGCTACTTCTCTAAATGTAAAAATTATTGATAAAATAACGTATAAGTAATGGAGGCAATTTTTATAGATGTTGCCGTTTTTGGTGATTTAATTTCGTTAATCTCTACAGCTTGACACAAGCGAAAATTTGGAAGTTATATAATGCAGTGGGAAAATATCAGGATCGGAAATGGCTGACAAGCTGTAAGTGATTTCGCTTAGTTAAATAACCAGAGACGAATTGTCCCATCGCTTCTCATATCCCTCAATAGTAGCACACAATATAGTTAATTTTTTTCCGCTAGGTTATCAGAAAATTGAAACACATACTTCCAACAGTAGCACGTGTATGTTTAATATCCACATTTCTCGAAGATGGACTACGAATGTGGTTTCAATGGTCAGAGCAGCGTGAATATATGAACATGCAATGGGGATGTGGACAGATTATAGCAACATTGTTTGTTGTTGTCAACTTATTGGGTCAATTGGGCGGTTGTGTTATGGTCATTATACAATATAAAGTCGCAATTGCGTGCGGAGTTTTATTTTTCATAGTATTTTTACAGGTGAGATTGCAATACTTGCCAATAATTTCTTTTAATTTTATTACGTTATTGTAGACAATAGCATACAGTATTTTGTGGGATGCACAATTTTTGTTACGCAATTTGGCTCTTATAGGTGCACTATTATTAGTTTTAGCTGAAAGTAGAGGAGAAGCTAAAAGTTTATTTGCTGGTGTACCAAGTCTTGGTGAAAATAAACCTAAAAATTACTTACAACTCACGGGACGTATATTATTAGCGTTTATGTTCATTACTCTTATCAGGTTCGAATTATCATTTGTGCAGGTGAGTTTTGATCTCTTGTACAAATAAGCTCAGCTTTTTTTTTCAGATTGTGCTTGATATTTTGGGATCAGCACTTATGGTTCTTGTAACAATTGGGTATAAAACGAAATTGTCTGCCCTTATTTTGGTACTTTTGTTAACGACACTTAATTTCTACCACAATTCATGGTGGAGATACCCATCCCACGCACCGGTTAGAGATTTCCTGAAATACGACTTCTTCCAGGTATTGATATATTATTGATACATTCAGATGACTAATTCACATTTTTAGACTTTATCAGTGGTAGGGGGGCTTTTAATGATCGTGTATCTTGGACCAGGTGGTGTATCTATGGACGAACATAAAAAGAAGTGGTAATAGGTTGTGGTATCGTACTTGATTATAGTGCAAACACGTATAGACAAATAAATATTTGACTGTCAATTCTTTTACGTAGTTTTGTTTTTGAGTTGTAAATTTTCCATTATCATCTTCCGAAGTAGGATAGGTTTTAAAGTCTGTGGTTATAATTTTATGATGTAGCTACATAATTTTCAGCACGATATATTTTATATTTACTCTTACAAATCTGAATGTAAAATATAGATAATTGTAACCGCACAACATCTACAGATAATTATTTTTTTCAACTGGATAGTTAATGACTGTTGTTATGATACTTTAGTATAATGCTGTATAATTTTAAATTTTATTAAATCGACATTTTTATATTACAATGATCATTGACTGGTTTATTTTTGGAAGTTCTGCAGTTGAAATAAACTTGATGATGTAGAGAGGAGGATGAACAGGTTTTCAGTTATCATGCAATCTCGCATTTATCGGTGACTTATTTGTACTACATAAAGCATGCTGGCAAAGAAAGTAGCTCCAATCTCACCATATCTGCCCAGGATTTCACCAATATAGATTTTCTTACGTCTGTATGATGATTCACAAAGAATGTAGTGGTGGATAGTTTCTCCACTGCTGTCACATCTTAACTTTTGATACTGTAAAATGCGTTGGAGCTAACACTTAGGGAAATAAACATACAGAAGAACCTAGATTATTTGGGCAGCAGATTATCCGTGCTGTGATTTCCCTTAATTGAATTTACATGTTTGAACTTTACATTTTAAATTTACGCAGCATGCGCTAGAAGGTTAAAACTGATCAAAACTTGTCACACAAACCAAAGTGACTTGACTTTTTTTCAAAAGCATAGCTATCAAAAATATACTCTTTTTTTGTAAAGCTAATTTATCAGTTATCTTCAGTTACTGGAATTTTACTCATTTGCTGTGAATTGTTGAATTCAATACGGATATGTGTGAAATTTCAAATTCTCTAGTTAACTTACGAACAGTTGTGTAATTGGATTTTCTTCTATTTACGCTAGAATATTTAACTTCTTTTTTACAATTAAAACACGGCAAGTTCTTCTTCTGGTGTAATGTTCATTAACAATAAATTCGATCATTATGAAATTTTTTAATTCTGTTGTGAATTGAGGAATAACATATGGGTACTGTCATTGAATACTAATTACTTATTCCATGGTACTGTTTAATGTTGTACCATATTTCTTTGTTTTTAAAATCATTTTTAAAACAGTTAATACAAACATTAAAAAATTGGCTGTAGCTAGCACAGATACTACCCACTCACCTGCGCATGCGTGTTCTGCCCAAAAGCTTTTCAGCTCTTCCTTTCATATCTAAGAATATGTGTACCAAATTTGGCTCCAATGGCTCCGGTTCAGACGTTTAGCCGGAAATATGAGTTTCGCACACTTGCGCATGCACGATTCTGTCCAAAAGCTTTATACCGCTTCCTTTTACGCCCTAAGAATTGTGTGCATTTTTCGAAAAAATACGCTATTATATCGTTATGGCTGGCTGGCTGCCCGGATGAGATCTCAGCAATACAATTGCTAGAGACTTTAAATTTTTACTAAAAGCTTTCTGTTATAGTGTAGATGTGCAGGTTCTAGTCTATTGTGAGTTACATTACCCGTGAGATCGATAATTTGCTAATGAAATATTGATCTGTATTATCACAAATGCGCTTTCATCATGCATATGCTGATTTACAACTTGTTTTAAATTTATTCTAGTAGTATTTCTTCTATTCATCAACGGAGTCGCTTTTTTATGATTCATGATCTGCGATTGAGTTTAATACACTTTCTGTGTTTTGTAAAAATGTATTTTCTGTGATAAGGATCAAAGAAGATTAGTTTGCCGAGCTCTCCATCGGGTATATAGGCCCGCAAAAGTTGAATTCTGACACCAGAACTACTAGAGAAACTGAATACCCGGAGAGGGTGCGCAGGCCGCAGATCTGTTTCGCTTCCCGTTATCTCTTTTTTCAAGTTTAAATGACTTTGGTTTGGTCCCGATTAAAAAAACTAAAAATACTTCAATTACAATACTACTGTTTCTTTTGCATCATCCTGTATATGTTTAGTTGCATATAGCGTGACTCTGTTGTCAAGTTTTACTTAACCTCATTTTGTAGTCTAATGCTACAAATATTTTTATTTTGCAATGTTTGTTCTTACTAGAAAATGCTGTTTTAAACAGAATTCAAAATTTCCACAGAATTTTCAGGTTGTATTATTACTACCTTACCAAGGAATAACATTCTTACCAAAATAGGCATGGAGACATTATGCTAATTCTGCAGAAGAATTGGAGAAACACAGGCAAAAAGTAATGTCAAAAGGGTTACCCAAAGTTAAACCGATTACTGGTGTGAAGCACATTTTTTTAATCGCATCGGGTAAAGGGGGTGTTGGTAAAAGTACAACAGCAGGTGGGCACATTCAACAGAGCTTAATCGAGTAATCGATGATACTTTTTATTTCAAGTCAATATTGCAACTGCCCTGAAAGTCTTGCAACCTAATAAAAATGTAGGACTTTTGGATGCGGACGTGTTTGGACCTACTATTCCATTGATGATGAATTTAAACGAATCGCCAATTCTGAATCAGGACAATTTGATGGAACCCCTTATAAATTATGGTGTTAAGTGGTGAGTCCCATTCATGTGGTAATAAACACGCTGTAGATCAAATAAGTAGATTGCAGTATGTCGATGGGATTTTTAATAACCGAATCATCTGCTGTTATTTGGAGAGGTTTAATGGTAATGCAAGCACTAGATAAATTATTAAGGCAGGTGCATTGGGGCTCTGTTGATTATTTGATTATTGATACACCTCCAGGGACTGGTGATACACATTTGTCTCTTGTTCAAAACATTCCAATTTCAGGTATGTCAGTCTGTTACAAATGATTTAATGTAATTGCCGTCCATTTTACAGGTGTGGTTCTAGTGACAACTCCACAAATCGCAGCATTAAATGTAACGAGACGTGGTGCTGTGATGTTTCAAAAGCTTAAAGTGCCAATAGTTGGTATTATAGAAAACATGAGTTACATTAAATGTCCCGCTTGTTCTAACAAGGTTCATATTTTTGGCAGTGCTACTCAGTCAATTGCGGAGGAATTTGGTATTAGCATTATGGCACATATACCTTTAAAGCAAAAGATAACTGACAGTATGGATAAGGGAGTTCCCATAGTTATTTCAGATCCACTTAGTACAGAAGCCGAGGCGTACAAAAATGTTGGCAATAGTTTAATTAAGTTTGTAAATATAACTGCGAATGAATTATAATACTAAACATGTACCTATGTCTCTGTTATTGGTTGTTATGTTTATTACTACGTCTGTCTGTCTATGTGGTATGGTAACACTATAGAGTCTATAGTATAGACTGTCCAGTACAATATGTGTTTGCCTCTTAGACCATATAGTACATGGACTGCTATTAGCCCTATGCTTTCAATACAAAATGAGTGGTCACGGATAGAGAGCACTGTAGTCGTGAGTATGTGAATCTCAGGGTAAACAAGTCGTATGAACACCACTCGGATCGCGTGAAGAGTAGCTTTTATAGTAACCCCGTAGTACGGGAAGCTTTAAATACTCTTTATTATCTTCTATACATCCACAAATAAGAACAGCTTTGCTTTTTTTGCCATATCTAGGCGATTAATTAATTGACGTTTGTTAATTTATAGGTTGACAGTCTCAAATCGTGTCTAATCGGACAACTTCGGACAGATTCGTTTACCCTGAAACTCACATACCCAGGCAATGTCCTTGACCATATTTTAGTTACAATTAGCAGTCCCGGTACTATATGGTCTAAGGTTTGCCTCTAAGGGCCTGTAATATATTGAGATGAGCATCCATTGCTATGCAATTGTTTTATTAAAAGTAAAATATAAAATCATTTGTGTAGGTGGCCCAGAACAAAAGCGCATGCAGGAAAGGCCCATAAAGCATCACTGATTCTTGAGAGCACAACTCCCTCGCATAGTACCTATAAAAATACCTAAGTACAACACTGCTGTTTTCATTGTCGGCATCTTCGAAAAATGAAAAATATTTTTTTTTAGATATTAAGGTAACTTAGTAGTTATAATTGTCGAAATATGAATAGTAAAATCCAAATCCTCTAGACCTAGAGATATGGGGTCACCAAAAGGACATAAAAAATTTTCCTCAAAACATTCTAAAATCACGGGCAAATACTTATACTATCGGTAGTTTCTCAAACTCAAAAAAGTCATGGAGACCGTACAGGGGGCCAAATTTTTTTTCAAAATGAATCGCTTGGTAGCTAGACTCCCAAAAGTATCAAAATGTGCGTTTCTTCTAACTTTTGTCTAAGGAACTATAATAGATAGACGAATATAGAAACTTGCAGTTTTAACAGGATTTTGTAAAAACATTTCCAAACACTTTTTCCCTGAGATGGGCTCACTATAGAGAGCTGCAGTCCGCACGAGAGAGAAACTAACGTATGTCGGAGATACCTCCTTATTCGGGTATTATCACTCATACAGAGAGCATCAAAACAGAGGATCCTCTTCTCGTATATTTTAAGACACAAGAGCTGCCTTGCGTTTACAGGTTAGGAATTCGTGATCAGTAAACAAATCATAAAACTTTTATGTTCAGTTTGATCACGATTTTACCAATTATGATCATAAGATCACACTTCGAAAAAATGTGATTTAACAATCCAAACGCGTTTGGATCACCGAAAGAAAGCGCCTAGAACTTTACAATTTGGCAACATGGTGGCATGTCAATATTAGAACCATGGTACAATAAGATTAGAACTACCATTTCAGACATCGAAACATTCGAACTGCAGCTGATTAGTTGATTTATCAGTACATCTGCAGGTTACAAAATATTAAAATTATCGAATTGCCTCATAATATTCCAAGATTTGCATTTACGTTACTAGAATTACTTATGCAAGTTTATTTATTATGTAATTTTAAACATTAATTCTCAATGTGTACTTTAACCTCTGTTAATTAATGTTTTGTTGCAGAATTACAGTATGATTGAAATAACTTGCAATGACCGTTTGGGAAAGAAAGTTCGCGTTAAGTGTAATCCAGATGATACCATTGCCGATTTGAAAAAACTAATAGCAGCACAAACCGGTACACGATGGGACAAAATTGTTTTAAAGAAATGGTACACCACTTTCAAGGATCACATTCAACTACAAGATTGTATCCTTTATTGTACTTATTGTCAACAGAACTTCAGCACAATTTCAATGTCGCTAAAGTATCATAGCCTTAGAAACAACTCTGGTGCACGTAAATGGGGTAATTTGCATGCGCATCTAAAAATGCCACAATAAGTGTGTGATGTGCGTGTAAAGAATGTGCACAATTGCATGCGGAGGTAGGAACCTCACCTTAAAAGCATTGAATGTGATGGGGTAAAAACCGAGGTAAAAACTTGTTTGTTTACTGGGTACATTCATGCAAGTCCTATCGAAATACATCGGGAACATTATATCACTAATCATTAAAGTCTACAGAAGTTATCTAGGTAATTTCGTTGTATCTTAATACTGGTAAATTTTAAATAAAAATTCTCCAAGGTTTTATAAAGTTGAGCAAATGCCTATGTTCATGCGAAAATAGTTTTAATTTTCCATACATATTGATAGCACAAGCCAACATGATTTTTGACTTTGATAAGAGGATATGAAATTTTGATAATTTTATTAATGAGAGGAAAAAAATAAATGCCTGAAAAAGTTTGCTTTTTTATCTAGGAGAGCCGTTGACCAGTATTTTAGGAAATCCATAATTGAAATTTTTATTTATTGATAAATCGAAACAAATGTAATTATATGTGGCTTTTATTAACTTTTACTATGTCAAATTACAAAATATTAAAAAATAGTATAATAATGAATCCTATTACTCTTTTTATCGTGTTCATAAGTACTTTCTCTCACTAAACCCCAAATGTAGTCCCCATCCCAATTTTCCTGTATTTACCCTGATAATGTTGTTCACAGTTCATAATATTTTTGTGACAACGATCTCCTTTCTGGGTATGCCCCCATATAATAAATAATAATAATTTATTTTTTTTTTACAAAAAACCGTTTATCTTTCAAACATGTTTTGCAATTAGGTACTACAAGCAGCATGTGAAACCCAGAACTTATCTAGATTCGGAACGTGACAGTTAAAATAGGCTTCGTAGGATTTCAAAGGCGTTTAAGTAGAATTGTGTATCTTATACCAAAGAACATTTGCTCATACTTTAATAAATATACCATATACATCATAGGTATATAACGAAATGCATCTTAACCAGGGATTAAGCTGCGGTCGGGAAAAGCAACATACAAAGGCATGGAAATGAGTAATTTATACATTTAATAAATATCAAATGATACAAATGCTACAAGAAAATTACTTTTGCTACCTCTACCAGCCTATAGCATTTTTGCTTGAGGTAATTTTTCCCAGCTTAAACCCATTTAACCTCTATGAGTCTTCTAGAAAATATTCAATTGTTGTTTATCACTTTATTTCTGACAGTATTTTTAAATACTCCAAAACTAGATATCTCTAAAGGGTAACTCCAAAAAATAGATAGAAAAGCAAACTTTATAATTTATTTATTTTAATTTTATTTTGGAGCATAATGATTAGGTATCAAAATATATTTTAGGACAAAGAAAAATTTGAATTGTATATCTTCCTTAATGTACTTTTTAGATGAAATTCACGATGGAATGAATTTGGAGTTATATTATCAATAAGCATGTCGCATTAATATAAGGAAATATTTGATTTATTTTCATTCAAGTAATATTTTCACATTCTCTTGTAAGTTTTTTATTTAAAATAAACCTGTTTTTCATTTTATACCGTGGTGAAGACGATTATTTAGATGCGCTATTTGAATGAAAAATGAAACTACAAGGTAAATATATTACAAAACTATTTTTTTTGTTAATTATACATAATCAACAAGTTTAGAAAACAATGATACATAACTAGCAGTTGCTTCTCCGAACAAGTAGATATTGAAGTCATATGTTGTACTACAGCGTGTGGGTCTTCAAATGGAAAAAATAAAAAAATATTCTACCTCAACAATACAGCAACAATTCGTTTGTTATAAAAACTATTTGGTTAAAATATCACACAATGACAATTATTAAACAAATATAACATTAGTATAAATAAGCATTTGTAATAGATAAAATAAATAATTGAGCAAAGTTATAATTCTAAGTGTCTTATAAACTAAAACCATGTGCTTTTAGAATTCTATATCTATTCTAAATTGATTCAAAACATCTTCATACTTAAAACATTAATGTTGTCGTTTGAAGTGGGTCTCATTCGAATTTGTTCTGGTAATGGTAATGTGAGGAGATTTTTTTTCAGAATCGGATTTGTGACAGTTGTTTAAAAATTCACGGATATGTTGTACAATCAAATCAATGGCCACTGTAAAAAAAGAACACAGTTAAGTTTTCTGGAAATAATTTATTTTACTGTTAGTATTGACAAACTTGTAAGAAGACGTTAGTAAAAAAGTTTACGTAAGCTAAGTATAGTAGAACAGTATCTCATCAGCAGTATGCTGTAAACGATAACATTTGTGCTAATAAATTTTGATGCAAATCACAGCAATATGTATTAAATTCATTGTAGATGTAGGGAAATGTTTATTCTTAGAACAAAGTATCACATTTCTGTTCCCAATAAGTTCAACTGAAAATATGTTCGACATAACACATATTTGTATCTTGTAGTTATGTGAATGGAGGTACAGTACACAAAAATAAAATTAACTCGTTTTAATAGCTGATTGAAAAAGAAAAATGAAGGGTTACATACACAGAGTATGTGATTTGGCAGATAAACGAGCTAATTTTATCTCTTTGAGATTCAGTGCAACCTAACGCTAAATGTAATTTACGAGGTTCCAGTCGAATAAGTGGAACTTTTACAAAATCACTGGATGAAATTTATTCATATACACACATTTCATATCTTAAAGAATCTACTCTGTAACATAACTAAGATATGGAAATTTTTGTTAATTCTAGACAACCAGACTGGCATTGCCTTTACAAATTATTCATAACGCTATAAAATAGAAGATGCAAATGATGCATGCACCGTATAAACAATTGCGGCATGTAAATGATTACTTTCTAACATCAATGTAAAATGGTTTCAACGAAATATACAAAAGGAGTAATACACAACATTTAGCTATCTAATTTGACAATATATTAATAAGACGAATTTGTCTACTTCAGTATTTGACAATCTTTATCAGTAGGTAGCTAGTATCATTTTCCTTGTTTAAATTATAAATTAAAGTATTGAAAACGAACAATATATAAACAAATATTTGTTCGATTTGACTTAAAAAATGCAGTAAACAATTGTGTTAACTTAAGGAACAAATAAAGGTATATCTGCAAAACTACAGGCTATTAGAAGTGTAGTTTCAGAGCTTTTGTCGAGCTATCAACAATTATTTTGTGCTGTATTATTAAATGCCCAGTTAATACTTTGCAATGTGCAATATTGTTTAATGTTATAATGAACCATTAAGTATGCCATTCTTCAATAATGGTGCAGGTCCCATTTTTTTCTCATGGGGATATGGATTTCCATGTAAAATATCCCAGATGTGGTGGACTATAAGGTCAATAGCCACTGTAACAAATACAAATGTAGCAGCCAATAGCGATTGATATTGCTTTATCACATCTAAATTATCTTCTTGTACCTTATTCTATGATGAAAATGAAATAATAAATGAAAAATTTATTAAATAAAACTGTAGCAGTGTGCTATTATTTGCACATGAATAATAATTAAGGTGACTTCTAATAGTAGTAGATGTTTGCTGAATATGTATTTTTTCTAATTAGTTATAAATCAATATTCAGAAATGTTCAGTTGTTCGAATAATTCAGCGTCTATCTTAAATAATAACTAAATATCTTACAAATAATATTGAAAATACTATACAGTACCCCAGTAGAAGGCGACTCATGCTACTGACTAAAGCATAAAAGTGCCTTTTTTACTAAAAGGTCTGATTAAATTTCATTCCAGCTTTCAAGAGAAGTATCTGTAGCTGAATAAAATTTGGGTCTGGTTTTAAATAGCTGCCAAGTGATGGGTCAAATTTAGTACACTCGGACGGACATTATTTTGTTGCACTTAACCTGGTCTCAGTTATATATGATGATTTGTTAAATTGAAAGTTGCTATATTAAAAGCATGCTCTTTTATACCAAGTCTTTCACTTTTCCCAAAATTGAATAAAACACAATTTTGTATTTTTAAAATTTTTTGTTTTTTCAGAAAACTAGTAAAATTGAAGGTTTAGATGAAAACATAACAGTTTTTTTAAGAGGAATTTGAATATATATATGGATTTTTACGAACTTTTCCATTTGGTTTTCATATGTTTCTTATTTTTCACTAGGAGCTTGTTTATTTTTGGGGTTAATTTGATAGAGCGCGTCTCGGGTGTCTTGCCACAGAACAGAAATTTTGCCCCAGATTATGTAACATTTACGTTATCCAGCATTTCAAAGTTTACTTTCTATGCAAGCATTTTTATTTCATCTCTAATAAATGGAATTTTACCAATTCTAGTACAAAGGGCCCGAGGCCTAAGTACGCGTGTTCACCCTTCTATCGTAATCCAGAACCCAGAATTTACCAATAGTTGTTGAAATAAAAAATAGAAAACTGTAAGAATGTGTTTATTCAATTGTTATGGAAACTAAAAATGTGGTTTAATCATATTTGGCTTTAAATTTAGGAATTTTGTTCCAATTTATCATATTCACTTAACCATAGTGCTTAAACTGCTTTTTTTTATTTCATTAATCCTATATACCTAATGTTTTATGCATACTCTGTATATAGTGTCAGATATGGTCAATATCACTTCACTATTGCCCAACAGAAAATTATTGGTATGGTAGAGGTTCAAGTTCTCAATTTCTGATGGTAGATGTTTGAGTAGCAAGATCTCTGAAATTACTGTTGTGATTTATATTATATAGTAAACCATTTTGAATTATCCTGTACAGATAGAACAATAAATTGCCTTGTATACAAAATATTCAATTACCTTCATACAAGTCTGTGTTAGTGTATAAATGGCGAACACACATATTCAAAATTTACCTGTATTATCTGCCCCTCTTGGGATTATTACATCTGCAAACTTCTTAGTCTGAAACAAATGTGTAAGATCTTGAGGCACAGTTAAGAAATAACTTACGGGAGAACAAAATTCTTCAAAGGCGGGTTTAACGAAGTTTATATACTGATTCAACACTTGGTCGAGATCCCGTCCCCTCTCATTAATGTCACGAGTAACTGGGGAAAAGTCAAATTACTACAAGTGGGATAAAAGGTAAGTAAGGCTAATAAACCTCTTCGTGCCAATCTGGTGTCGGAGTCTGTATCTACAAACAGTTTCATGTGAAACAAGTTCAGAATCTCAGGAAAGTAAAAAACTAGAATTCCCTCAAACAATACAACATCGGCAGGATAAATTGTAACAGTATCATCAGGACGCCTGTGGAAGTTACGATAAAAATGGAACAATTGAATAACAAAGAAACACACAAAGCATGATTATGATAATCGTAAGTGGGTAATTCACATTTACGGCCTGCTAGAATTTCTAGTAACGTTTTCTGCATAAGCTTATCATTAAATGCAGTCGGATGGTCGAAATTGAACTGTCCCTTTTCGGCTTTCGCAATTTCACTACTGTTCAATTCTCTATAAAAACTGTCTTGGGAAATGCATACCACTTGTCGTTTAGTGTGATCCATGTTGACTTGTCCCAATTTTTCCATAATTCTTTTACATACTGTACTCTGTAAGTAAATTAAATATTCATCTAGTATTATTGATCTAATTATACCTTTCCACTAGCTGTTCCACCTGAAACGCCTATAAGGAAAGGCGTTTTTCCTTCTCCTATTAATTTACCATTCATTTTCATTATTTCACTCATGTTTCTCAGATAGTCGATAGCAATTTGATTGCCTATACAAAGGAAACCTCACTCCTAGGAACTTTGTCAAATGGTCAACGGAAGGAAAATGAGGTTATTGATTTGATAAAAATTTATTTTGGCTCAAGTTGAACATTCATACAGTCGGAGCTCTATAATAAGTATCACATAGGAGGCCTCAAGGCCTGTATCCTGACTCTGTAATTTTTGTACATAACCTCCTTTTCTGTTGGTCTGCTGATGGTTGGGAACTTGGAATGTTGTTGGTACCTTATTCATCCTCTAGATGGTAGGGCATAATCTGTAATGGTAAAGGCCCTAGATATCTCATAATTAAAACGCCTTTTATGTATTTTTGCTATCTATTCGTAGGGTCCGTAGGTTCTTTGATGGGAACTTTAGTTGACTGACGAGTTTTATAGTAGTGTATAATTGATCCGTCTTAGTACTCACCCTTCGCTTACAGTGAGGTGAGGTGCGAGGTCGCGAAAAGATATTTATGTGCCGGATACAAGCACCAAATTATGCATGACGCTTCTCGAAATCCTAAGCCTAACAAACAATTTTCAAAGAGTTCCCACTTTAAGAGGTTAGTGGGAACCCTTTTCATAAGGGTGCGAATACCAGAAAATTTACATTTTGCCATTTTTCTCAGAAACTTGAATTTTTGTAAATTTTTTGCTCCGTACAATTTTGGGGGTCGCGAAAAGACCTTTAAAATGATACCAAACATGTGTATCTGTATACTTTCCACTTCCGGTTGCTGGTGTAAATATATAATTACACCGAAAGTAATGCAGGGGCAAACATGACATTTTTCAGTGCAATCTTTATAATCCGGCCGTTCCTTAATCCGGCACGTTAGGTAATCCGGCGTCTCTGGGACAACTACAAGATGTCATTTTTGATAAAATGCATCTAGCCAATCAACAAAAAAATTAATAATTATTTTTCCTAGTGTGTAAAATTATCTTCCATAGTAGAACTGCGAAAATTAAAAAAATTAGCAATAAGTTACTAGTTATTATACCTATTATTTATATTAGTTTTGTTGAACACAGTTTGCAAACTCTGGATAATCACAAGCCTCGGATTCCAAATTAAATTGAAGACCATAAGGACATTCATATAAATACCGTTTTCCTTTCATAATCATATAGTATTTATTACAGTCTGTTTCGTGACTAAAAAACTCTAAGCGGCTAATATTCGGACATTCTTTGCAGTCGACCCATCCGCATACATTTCTTATGTAATCGTAGTATTTTCCTGGCGGGCAATCCTTTTCTATTTTCCTCCCTCGATGGCATTCATAAAATTTGGAGCTATCCGTTTCGTGGCGTAATGTTACACCCAAATCTTCTGGAGGACATATACTCCACCCTGTGGAAAATTAATCAATTAAACTATCCAATGTTTATTAATGGAACAAAGCACACCTATTTGTTTGACTAATGATTTATTTCAAAATTCGATTTTTGTTAATAGATATTAATATTATTATCATGTATCTTTTCACAAGTGCAAACAAATATTTGGACATATTCTATGTTTCGATTTTTCGTAGTGTAGGTACCTAGTGTAATTTCCTTTCCAGGGTCAGGGCAACCGAGAAAGAACGTGAAGTACTTAGAAATTTTGAAACGCTGAAAAAATATTGTGAACGAGAATCAAACGGATCTTTCCGGTTAAGACAACACTTTTTAACAGATGCGGTAAAAGTTAATTCAAAAGAAACGGTCAGATAAGATAAAGACTGAACATATCATGAGAAGAGTTACGAACAAAATGAGGATAAGAATCAGTGACAGTTGCGTACTAAAACCTTGTAGCGTGACCAATGATCTTGTTAACCATTTCTGTAAGGGAAAAAATGAAGAGAATAGTTATTTACATAAAACTCAGGAAAATGACACATTACTGGCGAGGAAATATTGAAGTACGAGGCCCCCTTGGGGCCGAGTACTTTAATTTCCGAGTCATGTAATGTCATTTTACTGACGAGTTCTGTATTAAATTTTACCCGAAATCGTGTTTTAATATAAAATTTCAATTTTCATAGAGACCGTTTGATTCTATGTTATGAATTATAGACGTTTTCGTACTTCCGAGACTAAAGTGACAACTTCACTCCATTACGACAAGTACTGAAGTGTCACTTTTTGTCCCGCCGGGATTAAATTTGGACGAAAATCCCGGAAGGATGAAATTATTAACAAGGCAATTTCAGTAGGTTGTTCCACAATTTGTATGCGGCACTACTTTTTAAACGCATCGTACTGCTGCTCATATAGTTTTTTTAGATTTCGGTAGTATCAATTCTTTACATACTTTGGCTGCTTTTTATCAAAATTAAATACACTTTCGTCACCCACGACCAAAATTATGACACTAGCAATGACAGTTTCCAAATTATTTTTGTTACCATAGCATAGGGATTGTCGTACCAACGCAACGTTCCTATGGTAACTTGTTAAGAGTCATTTTTTTGAAAGAACGCGTTCTCTAACTCCATACATATTAAGTGTTTCAGTTTCGGAAGTACGAAAAATATCGTATATACCTTGCGACTGAAGCAGTAGTCTTAATCCCTCAGGTAAAATATGGCCCTCCCTTCGGTCGGCCCATAAACTTTACCTTCGGGATTAAAAATGCTACTTCAGTCCCGCGGTAGGTATATAATATACTATTTGCAGTCAGAGATGCCGTCGGTAAAGTGACGATGCGGCCGGTAAAGTGACAGGTGCGGCCAGTAAAGTGACATGCGGCAGGAAACGCAGTGTGATCTGCCTTTGTCATGGAAACTTAAATTTCCTGACAGAAGGTAGGCATGAAAATGAAGGTTTCAGGGGTCCTATTCTTGACTCTACGTATTCATCAAGGTCATTCGTTTTTTGAATCAAAACGATGAACTTTGGTCGAATGGTATTATTGACCGTTCGAAAATGTTTCGAATTCGTAAATGTCATTCGTTTTACACGGCGTGTAAAGCGAATTTAGAAAAGCGCTAAAGCGGTCCGACCCTACGGGGTCATCGGATTGGACCCATTTTCAATAACCTTGTTACATGTGTCATATCGGCAAACTGAGGAAAGTTTGAACCGAATCGATCCAAGCGATTTCAGGTTAACGTGTTCACAGTCCACTGACAGACAGACAGACCCCATCGACTCCCCTAAAGGGTAGGCATCGCTTTACTCCGCCGCTTAATAAAAGCGGTAAATTCTCGTTTAGGTACATAACAGATATACTTTGTGGTTAAGCGAAAGCATTAACGACCTTTGTCTTCTAGTACTTACCTCGTATTGTTCCAATTATCATTAATAAAACGTAGAAGGCTAATATTACACATGAACCCATATCACAAAGCAACAAATATTCTACTGTTGGAGATAAATCAATGTTTTACGCACATATCGTGTATTATCGAATAGAGATTACCACAGATTTAGCTAAACAAATAAAATCAAATCCGATTGATTTTAGGGGTGGAATATGACTGAGTACTAATCGCTTTTTGCAATTTTCTAAGTAAATACGGCCTAGGTAATTACATTTTGGTAGGTATTTGTTAAAGGTTTATCAATTTAATAATGATAAGATAAGGATAATGTGATAATTTATAAAAAGAAATAGATGCACTTTCATACACGATACGCCCTTGTGAATTGAAGAAGAGTGACTAACCAAACTCGATAAACTGACACTATTTTGAATAGGTACCTACCTATATAATTTGCACTACTTAAGAGTCTTCTGTACCCACTGCACCCAATGTAAATTTCCATAAGAGCGCCCGCCATAAAAACTCTAGTTGTTTTTCAAAAAAAATTTTTTTTAAAGAACTATTTTATAAATTTAGACCTTTATCTACAAAATGTTCGGACTATTTTTTTTAAAAAGTGTATAGCAACTGAATATCGATTGTTTAAAGATTTGCTGTTTTGCGCCGATTATTGCGCTAATCTGTTTCATTTTTTTACTCGCGATCAAGACGATTTATGGAAAAAGTAAACCGACAGTTTTTTAGATAAGTTCCTTCTAAGCATTACCCCAAAAAATGAAATCATATTTTTTGTAAATAAAGTCTGTATCTTGGCGGGCGGTAAATCAACAATTTCAGTGTAACAAGTGGCGCCACTACTCAGTGTCGGCGGGAACTAACTAAGGACCAAGACAGGAGTGGACAAAGCAAAAATATCATCTTGTCTTTTGCAACTATAATCATCTATATACTATAATGTAAAAAAGTTGCGCTTGGGTAAAGAAGACTCTTAATAAAAAGTGCGTATTCAAGTCCAAAATCGTGAAACATTCGATTTGTGAAATAATTTTGCACAATTCGAGTCCTACTGGAACCATCTAGCTATTGTGTTTCTTGGACAAAAGAGTGCAGGTCACACACACAAGTATAAATTGTGCACAACTCTTGTGCAGATAAAGCGCATTTTTTTAAACCGAAATAGCTTTTGTTTTGACATCACCAATGGATATATTTCTTGCAGACGCCTCAGTCGCTCTTTGTGAGTTCTCTCTCTCCATGTTATCAGCAGCGTTTTGGATTTGCTGATTGTGTTTTCCACCCTCAGTCCATGCAGATGTACCATGCTCCTAAGCTGGTGCTTGAGCATTTTGCCTATCCCTTGTTCCTCTTCTTCGCTTCCCTGTATTCTGCTTAGTTGCGCATTGAAGTAGCTAGTATGATGCTGGGTATCTTCCGCTCTTTTATTCTATTATTTCGCTCAGTTTCCTGAATTCCGCTTTTCCTCTTTTGTCAGAAGGGATGTGGCGTCCGATGACCGTTAGTCTTCCTAAGATCGTCCTGATTTCGGCCATACATATCTCTCGCTTCGTTCTTCAAAATTCTCCACCTCAATGCCTCGGTGTTCCCTGATTACGATTGCTGTGCCTCTGCTGGTTCTCTCCTTCTTCCCTCCTCTTATCCATCAGTCCTAGCTCCTTGTTGCGGCCATCTCACTTGTTGGTTTGGTTTCCTGTTTGCTGGCTACCTATATATGCTGTTTTCATAAATCGTCGTCGATTAGCTCCCTTTTATTTGGGTCGTTTGCCCCTTGTACATTCCACGTGGCTACTCTAATGCTGTTGCCTCATTCTGAATCCTGGCTACTACACTGGTTATTCCCACTCCTTCTCGACGTGGCACTCCTCCCGGACACCATGCTCATACTATAAATATAACTTATTTATTCTGACGCACTTTAGGATGTACTCGTTTGTGCGCACTTCTTCGGTCATCCTGGTGGGCCACTGTTGGTAATCGCTAAAAAAAGTAGTTGAACACTGAAAAGTGAACGCTGAAAGAAGAGAAGAAGGCCGAAAGAGATAAATGAATTGAATTATGATTTGCGACAGTGAGACGTGCCCATCTAGTCTAGTCTAACTTGGCCGCCCTGTATAGTATGTGTTGGAAGGTTCTTATTTATCCCGTTTGACCAAAACATATGTCGAGTACAATGAATTTATTTGACAAGTATGTAATTCTATGCGCACAAAAACTTGCCAGCCCTCGGAATGCGCTATTATTGACCTAAGGGTCCAGTAGGTATGTACGTACGTCCTGTACTTCGATATCCATGAAGGCTCATATATTTTGTATAGTGGTGAACGGTTTGCTTTAAACAAAGCATAAATAAGAGGCAGCTCAGGTCTATTTAATTAGGTATAATTTACAGGTTGAATATTTCAATATCAATTCTATTTACTGGGCACAGGTTACATTTTCAGGCCAATCACAAAAATTCTTCTTTGGGTTGAAATACAAACCGGGAAAACACTCAACTGGTACCTTCTCTCCATTGCTACACTTGTAGAAGACGTTGCACTTAGACTCATGAGGGTATAGAATGTCTTGCTCTGGATTTTCTAAAGGGCAATCCACCAGATTATTTCCCTCGGTTTGCGATTCAGCATAACACTTTACATTACTGGACCAATCACAATACTCCCTATCCGGGTTGTAATATAAATTTGGCGGACATGCGTGTGGTACTAAGTGTCCATTGAAACATTTGTAAAATATCGAGCAGTTAGATTCATGAGGATACAGAATATTTTTATCGGGATTCTCCAAGGGACAAAACCTCTGACTATCGACGGCTCTACTCTTGAACAAAACCGAAAGTTGTGCCATCGTTGTGTTCTTTACACAATTCACGTTTTGCGGCCAGTCGCAGTAACTCTGTTCCGGATTGTAAAATAGTCCCTGGGGACACTGATGTAGTATTTTTTTAGCGTTGTCGCATTTGTAAAATTGAGTACAATTATCATTATCATGAGTTGACACAATTTATGTGGGTTTTAAGCGCAATCATTATCATGGATTCTCTTACGGTTGCGAAAGGATTCGCCTCTTTTCGATCTAGAACATTTTTTTCCGGGTAGGGACGTTTCATACCCGGACAACTCATACCCGGACGACTCATACCCGGACACCACATACCCAGGACAACTCATACCCAGGACACCTCATACCCAGGACAACTCATGCCCAGGACAACTCATACCCAGTACGACTCATACCCAGTACACCTCATACCCAGGACAACTCATACCCCAGTACAATTGGTACCCAGGACTATTCATACCCCATGATAACTCATACCCAGCACTATTCTTACCGACGATAATTCTTACATAGGGTGCGCCTAAAAGGTAGGTAGTTAGACTTTTGAGATTAGGTACCTGCTCCAGCTAACCGAATTTTATAATGAAATCCCGGTCAAAAGCAAAGTAAAGAAAATTGAATTACTTCATGTGAAATTTTAAACATGACCACTTTTAGTCTACATTTCACAGTTTAACTGTTGATCCAAATTTTCATTATAAAATAATGAGGGGAGGAAACTGAACAGTTCTTACACATGTTGAATATAAATAAACCTTGAGAATCCAAAGGGGTATATTATGGAGTATATAATGCGGTAGCTATTCCCTCGGGTGCTGACAAACGTGTCCCGAGATGATGCCCACATGTGTAAAATTTCCCGGGTATGGCGCACACTATGTAAGAATTATCGTCGGTAAGAATAGTGCTGGGTATGAGTTATCATGGGGTATGAATAGTCCTGGGTACCAATTGTACTGGGTATGAGTTGTCCTGGGCATGAGTTGTCCTGGGCATGAGTTGTCCTGGGTATGAGTTGTCCTGGGTATGTGGTGTCCGGGTATGAGTCGTCCGGGTATGAGTTGTCCGGGTATGAAACGTCCCCGACCCTTTTTTTCATGTTGTTCAATACAATTTGAAAATTTATGGTACCTACAGCAAAATTTTGAGAAACATAGATGAGATCCTTCCAGAAAATTTATGAGAAAACCATTTGGAATCGTTCACGTTCTTTTTTTCATAATATACAACACTTTTGTTATTAAAGATAATTGATTTCTGAAGCAAGTTTGGTAAATCTACAAAGCTATTGCTTCAGAAATCAATTATCTTGAACAAAAAAAAGGTTATGAACCACCAACGAAATGACCCCGGTGACCCAGTTTAAACCGTTGACCCAGTTTAAACCGTTGACCCAGTTTAATCCGGTGGCCCAGTAATTAAATTATTGTTAAGTATCATTTGTATTAGTAGTAGGTAGTATTATTTTCAACAAACCAGCATACCGTTTTATTTATTTCATAATCTGTACACTTGAATCGAAGCCACTGACTGAACTGTGTTATTCGATCAAATTAGGTTACTGGGTCAAATAGGATCCCCGGGTGAAATTGAGTGGCTGGGTGAAACTGGGTGAAACTGGATCACTGAATATAACTGAAGAGAGTATGACATGATCCAGCGACCCAGTGACCCAGTTTAACTCAGTGGCCCAGGTGACCCAGTCTAACTCTGGTGACAATATTTAAACCGATTATAAAATTAAAGTTTATCGAAATATGTGTTGCATAGACTAGCTCAATACAACTGAACAATTTAGATCCCACCTTGTCGCTCAACTAGCAGTGTATTCAAATTTTAGATACTCCTTTAAATAGAAAAGTTGAATCCATTGGACCTCCCACAACGTAGGAAATCAACGCATTGAAATAATAGGGTAGATGACAATTTTTTTAAAACCGGTTATAACTGTTCGTATACCTCCACTATAACTTTAAAATATGATATTACAGCAAAATAAACCATATTATTGCAAATTTATGCAATTTGAATTGTAGGTTTTTATTTTAGCGCCAAAACGCTGTTTTGTGTCATGGCGGTGTCTGTGACGTCACAGTCCTGACAGTTATAAACACAACCCCAGCGTAAATAGTTTAAAAGATTTCGTGATGAATTGCAACTACTATACTATAAGTGGTGCCCTACCATGATGTACACATAGACATGTGGCGCAGCTAAGTATCCCAGGCGGGTGATTGCTATGACTCCATGGATAAAGTCTGATCCCTGCTACCCGATTCAAGTAAATCCGGTTCAAAGGATGCTGTATCACTCAAATGCTTCATAGAGTAGAGGAATCCAAAAGGATTCTCGACGATTGCTCATTAAACGTAATATAGAAAACTATATTGACATGAGTAGCTCATTTTTCACGTACGTTAACTCCTGAGGTGTGCGGTAGACGGCATTTTGAACAACTTTCGATTCCGATTCGGCCATTTGCCGATACAGGAGTAGAGTTTCGAATAATCCGACTAGATCATGACTTGTTACACGTGATAAAGGAGACTTTATCGACACTAGTACTCCGGGTTGTGGAAAGCGTTAGGGACTGACCACTCCAGTCCATTTAATAGGGTTTGGACTCTGAGGGGTTGTAAAAGTAGCTTAATGGTAGAGCCAAGAGAATAATTTGTGCGTATTATTTTCCTTGGAAATTTTTCATGGTTCTACTGGACCAGCAATTGAAATCTTAAGTAACTACATTTCTTGCAAAAAATCTAAGTTTAACTTAAAAACCTACAAAACTTATATGGCAGTTTTACTATTTCTAAATTCTAATGAGGAAAATCTTTGTTGGGTGCGAGAAATATTTCCAACATCATTACATCAATTTTGGCAGATTTGCTGCTATCAGCTCTCGTATACCTACTTTCCATTCTTATCTGGTTTAAAAAACTAAACTTTAGGATAATATAATCACTATAAAATTGAACAAGCGCTAAATTAAAAGACGTAGACAAACGCTATAAACGCACAGAAGATCGCTGCTTGAACCGCCAATTAGGATAATGACGTCACGCGCTCTGATTGGCGTTTGATATCACATGACAAATGTCGTTATTTTTTAATTTTATTTTTACTAAAATATAATAATTTCTTGTGTACATTACCAAATAAAGTTATTTTGCGATACCCTGGCACCTTACTCTATTTTATGAAACAGAAATTTGTTTATTCTTTTTCCACTGTCATGCACCCTATTGTGGTACCCTTAAAACATCTAATTCAAAGAGATTGAAAAACAATAGGGTACCAAATTTGTACAACACTCTAATTAGTCTTCCCCTAAAGTTGCATCGATCTCCATACAATTGGTTTTGATTTAGGATTTCCCGGGGTCGAAGTTCGTATACGTAGTATATAAAGTTGGTAGGGCAATTGACCATGGTCCGAAATATGGAAATATATTTGCCCAATGTTCGGTCGAGATTGAAGAGATTTCCTTACGGGATTATACGGCTACAGGTTTCTTGATGCCAAGTGTATCTTGACTGAGAATCGCAATTGTAAAACTAAATTAACTTGCCGTCGCTCAAGTCTGCGGGAGAAAACCACTCTTATGTCGCCCTCCCGAAAAGGCACCGACACAAGTAGAATGTCACGTATTTCCCAATAAGATTTAAACAATTCGCCTATGGCAATGAAATTAATTTCTTTATGGATCTCGTCCTCCGTCTAGCTCACACAAAATTTATACCGACTCTCTTGAAATTCTAGTCTTTCCTTAATACAGGAACGGCCCTAACTTCCTTGACGTTGGAACTGCACGCTAGCGATTAACTTTATTAAAACGTTTTCAACACAAACCGTTCACTCTTAAGCTTCTTAAGTTCTTCCGTATTGAAAACCCTCAACGAAAGTCCTGTACTCTAAAAGCGAGTAATGCTCGACTACTACATTTTCACGTATACTTTTACGCTAAGATCGCTTTATTTCCCGATCGTAAATTTGGCGCGAACGGTCTGCACGACTGCTACCTGTCTCTTTCTTTTTTAGCGCATTTCCACAAAAATAAAAAAAATGCGCTATTGTGGCCACTTTGTCCGTCCGTCCGCCCGTCCGTCCGTCCGCTCGTTTTGCGACGCTACTAGTTCTTTATCTTAAGAGCTATTGTTCAACTTTTTTCGCTATTTGGTTCGTTATGGTGTCGAGTCTTGTACCAAGGAAGGAATTTTTTCTGTACCGCTTACAAAAAAAAGTTATTGTAAAAAAAACAAAAAACCGTTTTTTACATTTTCCATAATTTTACACTTTTGCCGTTTATTAACGATCCTAGAGATCGTTTATAATTTTGCATTGCTATCTGTCGCCTGCCGGTTGGTCTCTCCGTCTGTTCCTTTGTTTGTCTGTCCATCTATCTGTCCGTGTGAACGATAACTTTGTTTAGAAATGTTCGATCGCTTTTACATCTCCGTTAGTTATGAACTGAATTGCATGAAATTCAATATGGCATAGCTTTAGCCATATAATACGCAATGCCAAAAGTTGAATCGAATCGATTCAAAATTCACAGTGCCCTTTTCGCATCTCGACCATTTATAAACCGAATTTTTACTTATAAAAGTATTTGAATGAAATTTGATACATAGGCACTTGTAATAAAGGAAAATCAAACGCCAATTTCAAAATTTGGTTTTGCGCATGCGCAGTGCCAACTTTTTTATTTATGAAAGAATTTAAACGAAATTTGATACATAGGCACTTGGGATAAAGGAAAATCAAACGCCAGTTTCAAAATTTGGCTTTGCGCATGCGCAGTGCCAACTTTTTTATCTATGGAAGAATTTAAATGAAATGTGATACATAGGCACTTGGAATAAAGGATCATCGAGCGCCAGTCTCAAAATTTTCTTTTGCGCATGCGCAGTGCCAACTTGTTTATCTATGGCACCATTTAAGTGAAATTTGATACTTAGGCGCTTGGAACAAGGGAAAATCTAACATTAGTTTTAAAATGTAGGTTTGCGCATGCGCAGTTCCAACTTTCTTATTTAGAAAAGCATTGAAATGAAATTCTTCTCATAAACTGAAATTGAAGTAACACGTCAAAAATGGATTGCACATTTGCAACGCTACCATTCATATTTGTGGGCGGATTTTTACGATTTTAACAGAAGTTG